CAGCTATCCCTTGTGTACTGTCGTGCAGCCTTACATTCCCTTACAATCAGCCGTCAGATGGGGACGTCGACATAATTTATTGTTCTCCATCAGTGCTGCCCTATAGCAACCTATCTATGTATCGAACCGCAACTTCCGCTTCTCCATACAACATCGCTCCAAGAGTGAGTACTAGGTCTTCCACACAAGACAACAACAACGTCATTCAAAATGTGGCCCCCAGTGCTGGCGATAATGTGTCCTCGCCTAGGGGTGTGCATCCAGACCAAGAAAGTCACAGTATGGCAAGACCCGCCCAGCAGATGCCACTTTCCCCACACAGAAGCGTTGAGCCTTCTATTACCGACGAGGCAAGCTATGCAAATGAAAGGACAGATGATACTGAACGACCAACACCGAGGCCGACGCAATCGACTTTGCATTCTAGAGAGTATACAAAACACAATCAACCCTCTGACAAGACGACTGACGAGGCTACTGGACTGTCACAGGGTTCTGTTGCACACGACAAAAAATATTCAAATAGCATGGGAAGTTTCTCCTGTCTTAGGGGCCAAAAATCCGATGTTTTTTTTATTGAATACACTGAGGAGGATAGCAATATCCAACCCGCCGCTATAAAAAGAGATAAGATTCACAATACAAGGCGGATTCCATTAATGCCGAAGGGGCCCCTAATGCAATTGAATTCTAGAGCTGGTAAAAATGTCCTTCACCGTTGGGTTTCCTCAGACTCTGAAACAACTAATCGAGAGTACAGAAAAACGACTGGACCAAGCCGAGTTAATGACATCGATCAAAAGATTCGTGTTAATTCAAAAGAGGTTAAAGGACGAAATAATACAGTAAACCTATTGCACTCAGCTGCGCAAAAACAGGATGCCACAGAAAGATCTCACACACGTATTCGAAAAGACCTAAAGTGGGCCCATCAGAGGCAAAGGAAGCCTCTGGTCACTTCTGCCCATCCCCCTGAGATACCACTTGGGAGAACTGGCACGGTCTCATTGAAACGAAGGACGAGGGCATTGCCACGTTTGAATCCTATTGGTGTCCTGAGTGTAAATGTGAAACGATATAGTGTTATGCCTTATCAAAGCCATTTGAGCTGTAGCAGCAGTTCTTACACTGATCGACCTTGCAACAAGTTTTTTGTTGCAGCCTTTGTGTTTCTGTTTTACGAGAAGCTGATGCGTGTAGTCCGTGAGAGGCGCCGAACGATCCTCTTAGAAACAGTTGAAAGGCCACGTGCTGCATATATCATCCAATGTGCATGGAGAAGGTATAAACAACGTGGACGTGTTGCTTGTTGGCGCGCAGCTCGTTTTTTAGTAGAGTGGTTTCGCTTCAAATTAACTCGTCTTCGGGGCATGCGCGAGGCAAGTGTGCGCATTCTGCGTCAGGTTCTTTTGAATGAGAGAACACGCTCTATTCTTCGCTCGACATGTCAGCAAATGCAGTATAAAGCAACACTAGATATGATAACCCGTTGCTTAAAGCGTTCAAGGGCACGTAGGCTACTGTTACGACTGAGATTAGAACGTGATGAGCGCAATATACTTCTTCAGCAGTGCTACCAGGCGTCACTACAAATTTATCGTGATGAACGGTTCGAATTCTTGAGCCTTGTAAAGGATGCCCAAAATATTTTGCACATTCGTCCTCAGGCACCAGACGCACTGTGGTCTGAAGATTTACTCCGATACACTCACTGTGGACCTGTTGTCCAAGTCGGATCTGAAATTGAGACTAAAAAAATAACTCCAAGATCCAGTTTGTGCAGGGAAGGAGTCCAGCATGTTGCCACCACGGTTGGTAACGAATCTAGTAACTCGACTCCAAATATTAACTTGTTAGTTTCGCCACCAATTACTCCAATGAGCGTACCGTCTCACCAACCTTCCGAAGCCGAGGTCACTATCGAGAAAGGCCCTCAGGCCGCTTCCATTGCTTCTTCTGTTTCATCAGGCCAGGGGCTGACGTCGCTACCATGCCTTCATGGATCCCTTATATTCTCGAATGATAAAAGAACAATCTCACCGCGTGGGCGATCTCTGTTTGCAATGCACTCCGAACCGTGCATTTCCAGGGCAATAAAGAGGACACTATCATCAGCAAATTGTGCGTATGCCGGTGTTTTTGGGTACCCTGAGGAAGATCTTATCGCAGAGGGTATCAGCTACCCCGATGTGCATGCGAGGGGCAATCATAATGGTGAATACAATCTTCCACCGATACGTACCTCTCCTGTTTATTTACCTCATGACAACCCTCCGCGCGAGCTGGCGCTGCCTTTTGAGCACCCGACCCGAATTGAAGATCATGATCTTCTGAACGAATTATTTCACATAGAAACGGGCGCCTATCTGGATGCCAAACTTGCCAAAACGTCTGAGTGCATCCTTACTGGAAAATTAAAAGTTTCAACACAGTGGAGTAGTGACGAGTATCGTGAGAACGTGAACAGTGTCAATACCATATCATGCGAAAGCACGGACGCGTTATTCCCCCATTGTGCTAGCATGGAGCCTGAGGATGATAGTCCACCTTCGTCGAACAATCCGACAAGAGACACCCACTGTGGCTTGGAAGGTTTTCAAAGCACGCTGCACCATTCTTTGGGTTCGAATTCTATTTCTTCATTACCTTTGGGCCACGAAATGCGTGAAGAGGTGCCTGCTGGCCGCTTAATACATATTACGCGCTCCTCTAACGACCATTCTGGCAATCAAAGCGGGACTGTTCTCCACGCTTATGTAGATCTTCTTGTTTGTATCGAGTCAATTGAAAGAAAAGCCTTAACACGAGAGCTCTTAGATGCCCATTCGACGTTCCTTTTACCCGTGCAGCGTCTTAACTTAGCTCTCCAACTCTGTTCTTCTGCCAATGTTCCTCCATTCTTCGCCACGTTGCTTCTGGCCATGAAGGACGATGAGTTTATGAAGCGGGCTGCCAGGCTCTTCGCCAAGGAGCACAGGCAGCGCATATCTATCACTCAAGCTTACGACTCGTTGCCACTCCGTTTCTTAATGCGTCCACTGTTGAGCTGCAGCGCGGAGCGGCGGCATAGAAAACTTGTTGCACATGCACACGCCGCGTCTGATCCGTTCATGTTGGCAGAAAAAAGACATGCGTTTCTAGGCACTGCACTGAAGTCTATAAACGCAGTAAGGCATGGAGTGATACTCGAGCCGATGGGTCCTACATCTGTACTGAAGGAGGAGGGTGTCGCGGTGAACGACTGTTGTGAGCCCCAAACTCTTGTAAAGGATCCGGTTGGGGGGTTAGGTCCTGACATCTCTCTCCCGAGACGAAAGCCCTTCGTTGTAAGAATGGCGCTTCAGTCTCGCGCAGGGTGTGAGACAGTGAAAGCAGGCAGAACTAATGACTTCTTAGCACTGAACAACACCGATATCACTATTAAAAGCATAGTAGGCGAGGATGTTACCTTGGGGGCGGAATACAGAGGCGAGAACTGCCTTGCGGATGCCTATGGGAAAACACCTCAACGTCATGATCAACCTGTCTCGATATCCAATCCACTGGATGCTTACATAGCCAGAGCCAGGAAAAATCGCTGTGCTTATTTTGGCGTTGGAACAGGGGTAACATCGGTGTTACCAGGCTTGAATAAGAAAGCCCTCAGCCCGGTGTATCCAATTCAGAATACCTGAATCCGGTTCAAAATATTCTTCCACAAATGCAAATGCCAAGCGAAATTCCAACCTTACCAACAACCAACATCAAGAAACAAAATTATAGATAGGATGAATGAATTTAGAATCTGCTTCGTGGTAGCTCTTAGCGGCAGGGAGGGGGTGAGCAATGCATGTGACAGAGAAGTCTATGCTGAGTTGTATACCGCGGAGGGCTGATGACCACTTTCCCCTCCAGATTCTGCTTATAAGTGTTTAGTGCGTTTTAGCCTAATAGTACGCATCCTGCAGCGGTGTTCCTGCTGTTGCTGTCGCAGTCGTGTGTGTACACGAGAAGGGAGTTTCTGAGAGGATTATCTTTTATACCCTTTACCTCTGCTTTAGGACGACTATCAACCCCTATTTCTGAATCCGTCTCCTCCAGTGTAGGTGTCGCGCTTATCGTGCCTTGGGCGCACCCCTGAAGGGAAGTTATGTAGTCTGTAGCAATGGAAAAGTATCCATCTTTGAAGCAACCCTCAGTTGAGTTGGCTAGCGTTTCTATGTAGCCCGTTTTCGCTTTGCTACTTTTTTTTGACGGATTTAGCCATTTATCCTCTCCTCCTTATCCATTGCCGAGTCAAACTGTGTGGGTGAGTGCAACACTGCGTGGAAGAGTTGGAAATGGAGCATCAACCCAACGACTAGCTCTGACCAACGCAGAGGCGGCACTACACCAGAGGAAGGGGAAGTGTATCCGAGGGAGACGGCTGTGGGTAGACCTCGCAGAGCGAATTGGTGCAATGGAGACTACTAATCCGATTCAAGCTCTTTTATTGGAAGAGGGGCTGAGGAGAAAAGTGAGTGTGGGAACACTAGTTCACTATGATCAGAGTAAAGAAATACATATAGCACATGTGTTTGATGTATATTCGATACAGTGTGCAACCCTATTTTTTTTTGCTTATTTAGGCCTTAGCGTCCGAGAACCGCTTTACGGCTTACCATCATCGTCTCAAGACGCTGAATGTGAGGAAAGGGGGATGTTTCACGTTTGTGTATGTATATATGTGTTGTGGTGCTTCAATGAAACACGTAATGTGCGGTGTGTGCCATTAGAAAGCTGCATTCGCTATTCAAAATGGAAACAAGTACATATTCAACTTTTAATCAGCACGAGGTTTACTCATGTTGCGCAAGATATCTGCTGATAAGTAGGACCATTACCGTGCGGGTTCGCAGCCTTGCTAAAGAGCTGCAAGGGCCGTTCATGAAATGACCTCTTTCAGAGACTCGGTTGTTGTAGTTGCTTTGCACGTTTTCTTTCTCTTTCATTGTGTTTACCTTGTCTTGAGTATTTTAAAGGCAGTACTCCTGCTCTCATATATGGGGTAGGTGTTGCTTCTCTCTTTTTAAAATAACAACACCAACGTTAGCAATAAATTAAAATGGTGAACCGGCGAATAGCTAGAGGTTCACGTAATAAGCAGAAGAAAAAGATAAAAACAAGTAAAAAAGCGCACTTTTCTGAAAGTCCTCAACACCATGATGAGAAACCCAAGGGACTAGGCTGTCAGGCTCATCTTGGAGCTGATGAATCTGCTGGCAGAGTCCGCCTGCTTGCTTCGGGACGCAAGCCACTACGGCTGAAGAGGTCTCGCTCCGCAGCCTCTGCGGCAACTTTATCAGTGTTGAAAAGGAAGAGGAGCTTGGTGTTGAAGAGGCAGGCCGCGGAGCGCATGGTGCTGAAGGAACATCTTCGGGAGCTTGAAGCCCGCCGCGCGGCGATCCGTCGCGGCGAAAACGCAAAGACAGAGCGCCGTGAACTCGGCAAGTACGTCCGCGAGCTGAAGGGGGAGATGCGTTTGAAGCACACATCGGAGCTGCAGAATGTTGAAGCGGAGTTGGTGCGGTTGATTGAGGCGAAGAAGCAGAGACGGGGGGATCGTCTTGATGAGGAGGGCTGCAACGGCGATACCTCCCATCCGCAGGACTGGGAAGACCTCGATGACGAGGAGGAAAGTGTCGGTAGCATGGACGAAAAGAAGCTGCAGGACATGTTTTCACATCTCACTGCATGATATGTTGCTAAAAAGGAGCCGATAACAAATGTATTAAACACCAAAAACGCAAGAATTGAAATGACAATGCCAATAAAGCTTGTCAACTTGCTTCGTTCTTGGTGTTTTTTTGCTCTGGTTGTTTATTCGTTCACTCTCGTCCTGTTTCACTTATTTCTGCCTCTGTGTCATTTGTCACCGGCAAGGCTAGCTTATTCTTTTGCGTGAATACTTATGGGACTCGGGATCTAGTTTAAGCCAATATCCGGGATTAAAAAAGATTCTTAATTACCCCCAGGTATCTAATTATTTTATCCATTCGTAGTGTTTCAAAGAATAACAACACAAAGCCATAAGGTAAGAACGAAAGTATGTCCTCATTGCCTTGCATCCGCATCGTCGGGTCCGCTGCCCACGATGTCAAAACTGAATTGATGAAGGCGCTCGAAAACGCTGGATTTACCACGCACCCTGAGATGAGCTGCCATGAGTCTAAGCAAGCGGACGGCGACGGTGACGTATTCACGGTATGTGTGGATAGTGCTGACGAGAATATGTGCCCACGATCGATCTTCCATCACTATCAATATCGCTATCTGTGGGGAGAGCTGAGCAGTGTTCAGGAGTTTATCCACTGCTTGCAGGACTTCCTTCGGACTGTCTCGGGAAAAGATATCAGTAATATAATCAACGGCGCGGAAACGGACTCACCGGGTGCTCATGACGCGCCACGTGGTCGCTTTGTCAGTACGCGTGGTCACAGTGATAACGCCACATTCACCACTGTTGTCTTGGAGGGCCTTGCAAAGGATGGGGGCCTTTATATCCCAACGCACCTCCTAACCATGCCGCCTTCCCAGCTCGACTATTTTTTCCGAACCCGCGGGCTACGTTACACTGAGGCCGCACAGATAATATTGGAGCAGCTCGTGGACAACAGTATCAGCCCTGCAGTGCTTCACTCCCTCATAATGCAGGCATATGATCCGTGTCGCTGGTCTGGCAAGGAGGATATCTGTCCGGTGACGCCCTTGCTTGGAGACAAGATGGGTATTGAGGCGGCCTGCGCGGATACACCGACCATGGATTGGAAGCATGATATTTCTGTGATGGAGCTCTACCATGGACCCACTGCTGCCTTCAAGGACTTTGCTTTGCAGCTTTTCCCACTCTGCTTCAACGCGGCCGCCGATGGGAAGTGCAAGGACGGCCACACTGATTCTACTGCCGAGATTCAGAAGGTTGAGGAAGAAGGATCGACGCGAAAGGAAAGGCCCTCATATCTGGTCCTGACCGCCACCTCTGGTGATACCGGTGTCGCTGCGATCAGCGGGTTCTCTAATGCGGGTGGGCGAAGCAAAGTAATGATTCTCTACCCGCTGTACGGGGTCTCGCCTGTTCAGCAGCTACAAATGCTTTCCTACGATAACGGCATACGAGTGCGTGTGTTTGGTATTGATTCAAATTATGATTTCTGCCAAAAATCCGCGAAAGCCGTTTTTATGGACTCTGATTTGATTTCTAAGCTCGCTGCACTTAAGCCACCACTGAGGCTGTCCTCTGCAAACAGCATCAACTGGGGTAGGTTTATTCCACAGGTGGTGTACTACTGCTGGGCGTATCGTCATTATGTGCAGAGCAGCAGCGAACTCATAACGAGCGGTAGGGCATGGAGCTACGGCGACCCTATTGACATCGCTGTGCCGTGCGGTAACTTTGGGAATATATTGTCCGGGTACTATGCGAAGCTCATGGGGATCCCGATTCGGAAACTCATTGTTGCATCTAACAAGAATGATGTACTTTTTGAGTTTATCGAAACTGGGTGTTATGATCTTCGTAAGCGCCGACTCGAGCCGACCGCCTCACCGTCGATTGATATCCTAAAGGCTTCTAACGTGGAGCGGCTTTTATATCTGCTCAGCGACGGCGACACGTGCCTGGTGGAGGAGAAAATGGCACAGCTGGATACACAAAATTACTTTGAAATCAACGCCGAAATGCGAAGGCGCATGACGGAAAGCTTTGTGGCATATCGGTGTGACGAGGAGGACTGCGCAGCGATGATCAAGGAGGTGTTTGACGCTTCTGGAGGCCGCCGGCTGCTTGATTCTCACACAGCTGTAGCGATGCACGCGGCCAAGGTCTTCCGCGAGGGGCAGCTTCGAGGTTGTAACCTTGACTCCCGCCAAGGTATTCCACCGCTGGTTGTCCTGGGCACGGCGCACTGGGCGAAATTCCCGGAGGCGGTCCTACATGCTATCAGAGGCGAGGAGATGGTTCACACGCCCCCTTCTTCACACCCGGAGGAGACCATGCGGCACGTGTGGGACTTGTACAAGCGGATACACGAGATGCACCCCGCCGGCGCGGTGTCGGGCGCAGGAAACTTGACACAGGAGGTACAACCAGCACTTGCCAAGGCTCTGCAGCCGTCTGGGTTCAGTACTAACAAACCTCGCAGTCTTCCAGTAGATGTGGAGGCAGTAAAGGAGGAAGTGATTCAGTTCTCGGCTGTGTAACCTTCCTTTTCTTGCAATTCTTTATGAGAACATAATTAAACAATAGTATAAACGAATATATTTTTTACATTCATAATATTCCACATAAAGTGCTACACTTTTAAGTGACTACTTTGATTGAGTAGATGTATGTATTTGTTTATTTTTACTTGAATAAATACTTTTTACCGTAATTTGTGCGCTTTTTTGTTAGGAATATATATCTGCAAAAACTTTGTTTAGCGTCACTATCTTGATTACGTCAGCTTTTAAAACGATTCACTTTTAGCGTTTCTCTTGATGTTTTTACTTTTTTTATTTTTCTACTATTCGCTATATAATGTAAGGCTTTCTGTATATAAATACTGGTCCTACAATATTGAAACTCACTCAAAGCTGTCCTAAAGGTTGATTTTGAGAGTGGGGGATATTGCCCTTCTTTACATAAAGGACTTTTTTTTCTGGGAAAATCACTAAAACGAAGAATTAATTTTATAAGTTAAGGTTTCAAAATTAGCTAAAACGATTGTTTTCATACTTTTCTCTTTTCAGAAAGATATTTCATGTTTAAAAAGAGACATAATAGATGGGTAACGTTAAATGTTTAATTCTTGTCACGAACACTCATATGAACACAACTTTACAATTCTCTATTTTTCCTCACTTTCCAATTTCTGATTTAGAGGGAAACACACAGAAGCTTTCTCTGCGTATCCGTATCTTTACCCTGATTAAACTTCTGTGGCCCTTACCCTTACAGCGTAAGGTCATCCAATCGTCATAGGAAAAAGAGGAAACTAAGGAGGTTTAAGTAAGCCCCTGCAAATATTAATCATAATAAATTCTAACGAGGCTTCATAGATATACGTATATAGGATTACCTTAATTGTCTTTGGACCCTGCGAATATTGTTTTCACATATAATCATAATAATAAACCAATTGTGCACACACGTGTCGATTAAACACGTATCAAATACCTATACTCACCGCTTTACTGTTTAAATTTCGTGTTCGTCTCCTGCAGCCCATAACGCCTAGTTTAGCATAAAATCGGTTAGTGGCGTGGGAAGACGGTGGTGTCTGGGTTAGGTGCGGTCAAAAGTAATGACTTTCCCATTGATGTCTGAGTCAGCTGACAGCGCCCATCGTGGAGGCAGCGACGGCGTTGGCAGTGTGTTCCCGCCATTGGAGACGCTGAGCACTAACGCAGTTAACCGAGGCCTGTCCGATCTTCACTTGCCCACTTGGCTGGGGCTGCTGGCCGCTAACATTACCGCCCGCACTATTATTTTTCACCCCCTGCAGCTCTCTGTAGTACGCAAACGTGTGACGCGGGCTGAAAAACCACCGAGCGTGTTCGCGCAAATAAGGGCGGCGTATAAGGGCGGCGTGGTAACGTTTTCGTCACAGGAATGCAGAAGTGGCTCTGCCGGTGCGCGGTCACTTGTAAAGGCTACTGTGCCGTGTGATTTAGGTAGAGGAGGTGTTCGTGGGTGCTATCGCGGTCTCGGGGCAGCTCTCGTGGCGAATTTAATTGGAGAAGTTAGCTACCTACTCACATTGGAGTCTTTCATGGAGAATATGGCACGATCTTCCACCTCTTTTTATCCAAACACATTGATTCTTGACCATGGAATTGATGATACACAACAGTACACCACTAAGTTTAAGTATGGGACTCAGGAAAAGGAGGGCTTTTGCACCCCAAGCATCTCTGCCGCCTTGGGTGCAATGTTGGGCGACCTCGTTTCGCTTATTATCATCGCCCCTGTTGTCATAATTTGTAATAGGCAGATGACAGCGGGATACGGCATGACCGCGGGTAACCGTTACCAGAGTATATTTGGCACATTCAGCGAAGTATGGAACTTACACCAGGTTAACCCCAAGTCAGTTGCAATGGGCACTAGGAATTCATTCTGCTCGGGCGCGACATGCACTTTACAGTGGCTGTGGTTCAGGAACGGTTTTAAGGGCATTTACCAAGGCTTCAATGCAGGTCTTCTGCGTATTCCATCTAGCGGCTGCTGGTGGGCAGTGTACACTAAGACAAAGGAAGCAATGTACACGCTTGCCACACCAACCCTTAATCAATGGAAAGAAGAACGCGCAAGCGAAGAAATTCGAAGCGGTCGAACTTTGAGCGGCGACACTGCAGGTACTACGAAGTCAATCTGGCAGTATAACTGGTTTCTTTCTCCAACAGACAACCCTCTGTTGAACGCTACAGCTAGTACTGTGGCTAGTGTGATCACGACAGTTTTGTTTAACCCGATTGCAGTTATACAAACTCGCCTTCAAGTGCTCCCTGACAATTACTGGAATGAAAAATTAGCCGCTAGAAGCGGTAAAAGCACTATTCAAGGGGAGATTGTAGGTGTCCCTGATTCCAAGTTATGCGTCGAAAGTATGAAAAGCCGCTCCACTATTCATCCATTCAAGCGAATTCATATAATAGCAACTGATCTTGTGCAGAAAGAGGGGCTTCGAGCCTTCTTTAAAGGCGCCTCTGTGAATGTTGCCGTAGCGGTGTTGGATGGTCTTGTGTTTTCCTTAATCTTCGAGTTCACAAAGCTTGGCAGTGATAAACAGTTTATTACGAACAACCTGCTGGATCAAAATACCTTGGAAAAAGGAAGTATGAAAGAGGAAGGAAAGGGACATGGCCTATGGGAGTAATGTGCTGAATTTTTCCTCTTTCTATCTTCGAAAAGAAGTCGGTGGCAATGGTAGAGTCCACCAAGAGGAAATAAAGTACCTTATCAAATGATGGGAGAAGTGAATGATCACACCAGTAAGCTCAATACAATTTTAAATAATGTCATTAATTCATCTGTTCATTCTGAGAGAAGGTTTCATGAAGCATGTTTCTTATACACTTTTAAATTGGTTTATTGATGAATTCGATCTCCACTTATTTGATTGGTTGCTGAGGTGAAAACGGTTTTCCGTGATTAGAATACGCCAGCTTTCCATATATGTTTATCAATGCCTTTCGATTTCTTTGAATGCTTATTTTGTGTGATTCTCTGTGTGTATACACATCGCTTTTTCTCTTTGGCTTTTTCCTTGTTGATTATTTTAAATGTCGTACTACTATCATTTTTTTTTAAGGTAGCGGGTTTAATCTTGACATTTTTTTGTTTCATAAAAACACCATCATCAATTTCATTTTTGCTCAACTTTCACAGGGTCTCAAGTGAAAAATATGGCAGTAGCTGGCACTGGGGGTGCTGATATTGAAGAGCTTGTAAAGCGCATCACTAATCACCGAGGTGTTCGTGGATTTCTTATAATAAACAGTGAGGGAATCCCTATACGTCATAGTTTCACAGAAGCTTCACGAGAGTTAGCGGTGCAGTATGCAGCTCTCTTTCAGTCCCTCGCCATTAAGGCTAAATCAGTTGTGCAGGAGATGGATGGCAGCAATGAACTTCAATTCATGCGGTTACGCTCTAAGAAAAATGAAATAATTGTTGCCCCGGATAATAAATACGTCTTGATTGTCATTCAAGAGCCACTGGATTATTGTAGCGATAAAGACGAGACGGAGGTGAGTAATCAAATTCAAGGTGCTTAGAACATGGAGCATGAAGGGTAATGTGATGCTATAAGCTACCCTTTGGTGTTCCACAATTTCCGTTTTTCACCTGTTTATCCTAGTGTAAGGGTAATTATAATGTAAATACAAATGTGAAAAGACGAATGAGGTGGAATGGCTTGTGTTGCATGGGGAAATATAGAAAAATAAAAACAGGCCTATATCGCACATTTTTCTTATCAATAAGCAGGGTGGAGTATTCATTTTTTTCACGCTTATTTGTGATGGTCTTTTAATTAATCCTTAAAAATGTCAATCAAAAGCATATATCGTGCTCTTTGTACCTGTTTTACACGCTCTACCTTTTTTCATTATTTATTTGTTCATCAAAAGAACGCTTTAGGGTAAAACTTTGTTTCTTTTGTGTCCTCTTGTGTGGAAAAAAAGAGGCATCTTACTTTTTATTTTTATGAAATAGAATTACAAAGAAGCACCACAACCATTCTTTCATTTTTTGTATTGTTTTTTACTCTCAGAGGATATTGTGCCTGATAAATTATCGACAGAGAGAAGGGAAAGGTGGAAGCTGCAACCACAGACAACCCTAAGCATACTACAAAGAGGGGGATAGGTGATAGGTTAGATTTACTCAATATAATAGAGAAAAGAAAGCATGAGCAAGCTTCGGGGTAACTCTTCTCACGGGGCTCTCTCGCCCACTCCTTCTGTAGGCTCTCTCTCACATCGCTCTCTTCCGCATGGCTCTCTTGGCAATTCCTCTTCGCGACCATCACATCAGGCGACAAGTTTGCTAAAAGATGCCAGCACTCCTTCCAGGAGGAAAAATTCTGCCCGTGGCTCTAGCAGCATCAAAACGGATGCCGTAGAGGGCGGCCGGCGGGAGTCAAGAAATCTCAGCGCGAGCAGACAGCAGCGAGTTGGCGGGCTAACCACCCGACAACCGTCAGCACGCACAAGCACCACGACGAGGGCTGCTGGGTCGTCACGACTCAGCACCATCGGGCTCGCCCGCCCTCCAAAGAGCACCCCCTCCGCGGAGGAAAGTGATAAGGAAAACATCAACCGGCTCGCGCGGACGGAGAGGCGATACGAAAACATGAAGCCAACCTCGTCTACGTTTTCGGGGCTCCTCGCAGTCTCCTCTGTACGTAGGAGCACGAGGCAATCCACGGGGATACAGCCCGCCTCAGCGCGGCAGCTCTACAAAAACACGCCGTCAGAATCCGGAAAGCCTCCGGCCGCCGGGGAGAAGACGGACATACACGAGGTGGCCCCAAGCAGCGTGAGGCATCTTCCTATGCCTATCGTCTCCCCACGCTCTGGTCCAGCTCCAGCTGCAGCAGCCTCCGGGGGCCCAACGACCTCGGGGATGATGAATGACAACAGCAAAGAAGTATTTTTTAGGCACGATTATGTCTTCCTCCCAGAGGACGGAAAGAATAGCGAAAAAGCACGACCCACTCAAGCGATCCCACTCACCACCAAAACAAAGCAAGCCAAGCAAGGTGATCGGCATGCCCTGCCGAATGGTGGTAAGTCTAATGGTGAAATCGTCCAGAAGACGCCGAGAAGTCTGCACCGCGATGAGGGAAAGGGAGATAGCCACAAGTGCACCTCAGACTTAGTTGAGAAGGTCGACGCGAGTACGTCGAATACTGACGTAGTAAGCGAAGAATGCGAGGACCTCAAGGTGAGAATTCGCGCGACACGAGCGAAATTAGCAAGGGCGCAATCAGACGTGAAGCGCTACACCGAAACTTTATATCAACGGGAGACCGAAAGGAATATGAAGGAAAGTATTCTGAAGGAGCTCAAGCAGCAGGTCGAGAACTATGTAGAGTGTGAGTCGGCTGCCCGCGCCATGTGCCGTAAGCTTGAGGTCCAATACCGTTCTCAGGAGGAGCTAGCTGTACTACGCGACATGACCGAAGAGCGCAAGGTACGTTTGGAAAACATTCAGAGAAAGCGTGATTCCCTTGATTCTTTGTGGAGTCAACTACAACTTTTGCATGAGGACGGTGCCCAAGAAAACGAGGATAATCAGAAAGTGAATAGTGAATCGCCCTCAAAGGACGTGTTCGACGCAGGTGAATGCTCGGCCGGACACGACGGCGATGCCTCTTCGGCACCCGCCTTGCCATCTCGAGACATCTCCAAGACCCCTCAAGAACAGCGCGAGGCCTCTGTCTTTTCAAACAACACTTGCGGCGTGCTCTACCACTTCCTTAGGGACCTCCTCGGGGAGGTTGAAGAGCTTACCAAAACCTGTATTCAGGTGCCTTCACCATCGGATCCCTCACGAGTGGGCCAAAGCAATCGTAACGGGCAGGAGGACTGCGCTAAAGGTAGGAATGGTTTCTTTTCCTTCTTTGGAGGTGCGACGGAGCAGCATCTTAGCGCGAAGCCGCTCTCAACCTTTCTGTCAGGCATCAGTCGGCTTGAGCGATCTGCGTGGCGAATGGAAGAGGAGGTGCAACTCCGGGCCCGTGAGCTAGCCGATTCGGGTGAGGAAGAAGAACTACGCGATAAACTTCAGTTGGTTTCCCTTTTGTCTTCGACCAGCTTCACCTCGCCACACTCCGAGGTCGCGATGACGCCGATCCGAATTGTAAATGGTGTCCAAGACTCCAAAACGGTGGGAAAACAGTCGAGCGAATTTTCCACCCCTGCCACCCCACTCCAAACGAGCTGCCAAAAGTTACTGCACCTTCAAAACTCACCCGAGCTCCTACCCTGCTCTCCGATTCGTGACCGCACCTTCGTCGCGGCAGCTGCTCGAGATATAATGGAATCCCACGGCAGTCCATTCCATGTGGTGCCCTGCGTCGCGGCGATCTCGATGAAGCCGCCGGAGCTGGCCTACGCGTACCCCCGCCTGCGCGACGTCCGGCATGACCTGGATCTCCAGCAGCTGCAGATCCGCGTGAACTACGAGAAGGAGGTCGAGCGGCAGCGAAACAAGGTCCGGCTGATGGCGAAGCAGCTCCGTGAGGCGTATGTAGTGCAGGTGGCGCCCGCCCTCCGCGCGCGCGTCGCCGCGTTGAAGCAGCAGCGGCTGTGCATCGCGCAGGAGCTCAGGGCGTTAGGGGTCGCGGAGGTCCACCTGGAGCGGAAGGGGCGTGGGGCGGCGACCACGGAGACGCGCGAGGATCGCGCCGAGCGGCCGCCCTT